AACCTGTGAAAGAGCAGAGACTTGAAATGAAAAAAACAAAACAATAGGATCAGCCACGGTTAGTGTAGCATCCTTTCGTATTTTTAGTTTAGCTTAGAGATGTGGTTCTTGTCAGAGGACTCTGCAGGCACTGTGACGGTGGCCGACTAGAGATCATCGTACATGTGTAGTGTACAAGGTGCTGAACCCTCATCACGCCAGCGAGGCAAATCTGCGCAAGTGCTCTGTACCTGGTCCCTCAAGAGCGGGTAAGAGAGGCAGGTGACATGCTTTCACCATTAATGCCAAAACACCCATTAACAACAAAAATCTCAGTTTCTAAGACTCTCCAAGTTATGGTGTCAAAAGGGGCATGAAAACCTGGAGTACTGAACTCTACCCATTGGCAGTTTCCCCGCCACGTCTTAGTCCAAAAACTATTTTGCTAATTATTGTGCAAACCTGACGGCTCGAGGTCAGGGTCTTCCTGCACTGCTGCAGCTACTTCTTGAGTACTTTGTTTGCTCAGGAGCCAAGCAAACAGCATCTTTTGGACTGGCGAGGCGAGTCCCCCAGGCAAACCCGATGCCTCGTGTTCCCTCTTTGTCGGGAGCACTGCGGATGGGGTCCTGTTGTGGAAGACAGCCTTTGCACAAAACTGTTTTGCAGCATCTTTGGATGAAGCGAGAACAATCTTTGCCAGAAACTCATGTGGCCACCGTTATACCTGGAGATGCCAAATCTGTGTCAACTGGGGGAGGTATTTTAGTTTTTGTCTTTTTTTCCCTCACCATCCAAATATATTTTAATTGGCAATAATATAATTTGCCCATGAGGGTAATTAGTAAATCTCCCTGTCTTTATCTTGACCGAAGAACACCTCCATCTTTTCTCCCGTTGAGGCAGAGAGCAAGAGCATCTGGGTGGGTGTCTTGGCAGCTGGCCAAGGTCATCCCACCACAGAGACAAAACTTCTACTTACCATGGAGTCCAGTTCAGCCACAAACCCAGTTACCAAGAAGATCTCAGCTGTCAGTGGTCACCACTCTGCGCAGACACCTTTGCTGATCTAAGCACAAGCACTTAACTGGTCGGAAAGTTAAAGTGATCGTTGAATTCAATATTAAAATATCAGAGTCCTACATACAGCTGTACCAACGGCTTTTCATCATTCCCTGTGACGGTTTGTATCAAAGCACAACAGGCTAGCATATACACTTTTCTCTCCGTTGTCCTCAAGTTACTCCTGTGCTTCCTCTAATTTTCTTTATCTAGCTTTCAGGTTAGCAGATAGTAAAATTTCTGGGATATCAGAAAACTACCTGTGGAAAAGCTCTGGTGCAAGCCTGTCACACAACATTCCTTTTGCTGCAGAGCAGGTGTGAGCAGTAGGCTGGGACTGCGGGCAAACGGGGTAATTATACATTGTCTAACGACCTGACTCGCGTCTCCAACTGGATACGCTACTGAGGCATGACGGCGGGTCATGTCACCGGTCATGTGTGCTGCTTTCTGTCCTGGGCAGAGCCACCTTGCAAAGACATGGGTGAAGTGATCAACTTTTGAAGCAGTTTTGCTCCCCACGTTTGCCAGAGCTACTTAAGGTAAGAGCTTCCAAATTACTTGGGATCAATGCTACGTTTGCTCCTTAGGAAGTAAGAAAGGGAGGTGGCAAAGACAAGAAAAATGAGCTTGAGGAGTATGACAGCTGTGGCTCTCGTTTGTAAATGTACACTCTTTATGATCAAATTGTCAAGCTTTCAAAATCTGCAGGCTCTCTCTCATGTTCCTAAAATCTGAACTAGCAGAGATTTGTCTCAGATATTTCATCTTTCTCCTAGAACAGATCAGAGATGGGAAATGGGAAAACTAGCTTTCTGATAAGATGAGGATGAGAACAGCAATAAGAATGGAAAGTCAAACTGATGCACCACAGGAACGGGCTTAGCTCATGCATAAAAGCAGGGGACACACCTCCTTTCTTCAAACAAAGGTTTATTCAGAACAACTTTTCAATTGAAAGACAAATTATGGACATTATTTTTACATAGGTGTAAAGGAAATGCTGGCTACCCATGATTCAATGCTGCCAGTAAGGGAATGTTACTTCATAAAAGGATTAAATTAAAAGATGGCAAATATCAATTTTTAAGGTAATGACGAAGTGCTGGAAACAATTGTGTAAGGCTGCCCTCAATTCTGACAGCTAGAAGGGAAGATGAAATACAAAATTGTGTCAGTAGAGGGCAAAGGCTGAACCTAAACTTGGCATTTCCTATCTGCTGTTGTTTGCCCAAGTTATCGGACAAGGGATATCCAAATGTGGACCATGTCACGCAGAATGGTCACAATGTCTCCCCAGTACAGTGCTTCCGTATACAACTGAGCCAAGCAAAGCCAAGACTAATTAATTTGCTCATCGTCGCTCTTGCAGAACAGGAACTGAGCCCATCTTTCCCCCCCACAGTCCAGGCTAATGCACAAACCACTGTACAATACTTCCTTTTAGTGGTTAGTACTCTATTTTTGGAATGGTAATTAGGGAGGGACAGGTTCTAATGCAATCCCAGAGCCCAGCTGTGCTCATCCTTCAGAATCAGGGCCCTTTAAACGTGAGTGAAGCTGTTCCTCTGAAGGAAGCAAGGGATTATATCTCAAACAGTAAATTAAGGAACAAGATTTAAAAGATACATCTGGTTTGCATCAAAGGTTAACACAGAAATCAGTGATGTAGCTTATTCAGTATTTTAATTACTAACCTTGACAGAATATAGGAGTGGCTAATAAAATGTATGAATGAAGAAACAACTTACAGAAGCAGAAAATCTAATGCACAGAATGAGAAAACCTAGCAAACTGCTATGCCGGAATTCCTATGTATTATAATGCTACAAGGCAGTGCATTTAGAAAATTGTATCAGGAATTTCAGCTACAAGCTGGGAGTCCATTAGCACAAAATGACTGGGGAGAGAGACCTACTGCTGGTTAATGGCAGCATAAACACAAACCATCAGGGTGATACAGCTGAGGAAAAGGAAGAAGTGCTACTGGGTTTTCTAAAGGCAGCATTTCCATTAAATATAAGATGACATTCATACCATTACGTAGGCTGAGGACAGAGCTCATTGGTCACTGGCGGCCAAGAATGATGAATTCACTGTACAGATGGACTCAATGAGCTTGCATAGCCCTGTGAAGGAAAGGCTGCAAAGAGACAGGAATGTTCTCTGGGCTGTCTCAAGAGGAGAAGGCTTCTCTAAAAAAGCGTGACGCTGGCACAATAACGAACAGCAACAAACTACCATGACTAATTTCAGGCTAGAAGGCTTGTGAAAGTTTTCAGTGTATTGAACTGCTTTAGAAGTGAGAGCAACAGGAGCAGTAAATGCTCTAAATTATAGAGCGGAGCTCCCTTCATGAAGGAATAACCCAACATAAGTGTCTGACCAGGGACAGGACTGGAAAATCCAGGGAGTCCCTGCCTAGCCAGCAGCCTTGTGACTCCGCACAGGCAGTGTCAGGCTGCTGATCTGCTGGCACAAGGGCTGGAGCTGCCTCAGCAAGCCCAGTAGCCAGGCGACCAGCCCTCCGGGCGCCTATCGCAGCGGAAGAACGCTGGGTTGCACTTTCAAACAAAACAACAACAAAAAAACCCCAAACCTCCCAAATCTCTTTACGTCCCTGTCACCATTTAAAACACCATGAAGGAGAAGAGATTTTCTCCAAAATAGGAAAAGCAAAGAGCTCGGTTCATTAGCATTACACTCGTCAGGATATGCTTCCTCCTGGTTTTGTGAACAATGGTACTCAAGTTCCATGTAAGCCACAGAGATTTGGATTACATATAAATATCTCCCTTCCCACACTAGAGGAGGAGAAGCAGTATCTACACAGTGACTTTCTGGGTTCTGCCCAGCTCTCTGGCTCAATGACAGAAACATCCGGATGATTCCAACAGATGGACAACCAACCTCTTTCACTGACCACTTCAAGCCGTGACCTTTCGTATGGGCTTGTGAGTCAATGCAGTCAACAGAGAAGCCAACGGAACCAGGTGAAGAGTTTGCAACAAGAAATATGGTTCAGAGTCAGTTAAATCCCTCATAGCTACATCCTCTCCATTTGAGAAAGGATGCTGCTAGCCTGATACAGGCTTAAAAGTCAGAATAACTGTAGGAATAAAAATGAAATTCAGGAGTAAAGAGTGGGAAATTGGCAGAGCATCCTTCATCTCACTGAATGTTGTCCACTTCAGACATCCTGAATACTTTTTAATGTCCAACTTTTAATTTGCTGCCGGCAGTCCTCTCTCTTAGCTTCTATATTAAGAACAAGAATAAACAAATACCTGAATGCTGCTCCCCAACTCTTTGTTTACCTGTTTCAAAGCTGGAATTATTCCTTCCTGAGCACCTGAACAACCTCAGCACCTTGTGAATGTTACCATAAAGGACCAGCTCAGGGCTAGAGGGAAAAGATCTCTCCACTGAGGAATTCAATTCTTCACTGCTAGCCAAAAACTAGCATTAACTGCTTCAGTAAAGTAAAACAGAGGCATTTGATATTGCTCAAGCCACAGCTGCAATTGCATGCCTGCAACAGCATTTTATGGTCACTCTTTAAAATAGCAGAAATTGAAATTGTCTCATAAATGCAGCTGGAAGGGCTAAGTGCCCAAGAAAACATTAAACTAGTGATGACAGAACAAGAGCACGTTACAGCAAACCAGAGGCCTTTGGACTAGTATCCTATAAGCCAACAGATCACGGTAGAAAACTGCTATAACTTCATGTCCATGAAACCTGAAGATCGCTTACTCTAATGTTTTCATCTTCCAAACAACAGAATCTTTCTCAGATTCCTGAGTCACTGGATGGGTTTTCCTAAATTCCATGTTCCCTTTTTTCTGTCTGGGAACCAGCTCTTACTGAAGACAGTGGCAAATCCCACACTGACATCAGCTGGAGCTGGAATGGAGATTAAACACTTTTCTTATAAAGCGCTTCCTGTCCTGCCAAAGGTTCTGGATGCCATCGGGGTACATGATGTGGTAGCCAAATATGATAACCTCCTGCCAGACGACACGGTGCTGATCCAGCCCTTATTGCCAGCTGCAGTACAGACGGGGCACAGCGACAGCCCTTCGTAATGTTAGTCCTTCTCTCACATATCCAGGTTGTTCTATATTTTCTTCTCCACTCTCAGAAGTGCTAGATATTTTGTGCTGGTACATCCAGGTCCTGGGAGCAGCTCCACTGCTTCAACGGGAATAGGTTTAGGCCGGTACCAAGCACTCTACAAAACTTTCTGGAAACCGCATTTGGAGTCCACAGTATGTGACCAACAATTAACCTTCTTGCTAAAAAAGCCTTGATTAAAAAAAAATAGTTAAAAATATAGTAAAGCTTGATCAACTTTCACTGAAGTACCACATAACTTTTTTAACTAGGTCAATCTGCTTATGGAATAACTGTGACAGAACACAATTCTGAAGCAGGGGAGATGTTCCCTGGACTCCGATACATACACACCCCTAAATCCCATCTGCCTCCTCTCCTTTCAGACGTTAATTTCTGAATCTGAATGCAGTGAACTTCAATTTTCAAATGAAATCGTAAATAATTCTTCGGCACAGGCTCGTAAGACTAAAACACAGATGCATCAGCACTCAAGTAATGAGACTTCTGAAATGACTGTCGTGTAGTTCTCTGTGTCCTGATGAGCTATACCTCGGTCAAAATGGACACAAGTCCCACGGGACTCTCCAGGCTCAGGAATGCTTCCATTTCACATACCGCAACGTCACCATTGAAGAAGTGTTTGTGGGAAAAGCCTATTTCCAGCAAACTTGGAATCGAACTGGAAAAAGCGTTTCTGAAAGGTGAAAAGTGATTTGCATAGGCAGGACTGTCTCTCTGCCCAGCACTGCAAACGTGCAGCACCCGAAAATCTTTCTGGGGAGGAAAGAAGAGAGGGAAGTCACCATTCCTTTTGCAGCTCTTTGAACACGGGAGGCCAGACGGCAACTCCGTCAGGACTCCTGAGAAGATTGTCCTCTGCGTGTCTCAGTTTCCCCTGTACGAAGCCCAAATGGCAGTGCCTGTGCCTCTTGGCAGGCACACGATCTGTGGGATCACTTAGCTGTCAGGGATGTTGGGGAGGGGAGGTGCAGGGGTGCAGGTGAGAGCCAGAGAGCGAGGGCCCTGCCGTGGAATTCCACAGCCCAGCAGCTTTCCCGAGCTGCAGGATGGCTGCTCTTCCCCCCAGAACACCAGCGCCTGGAGCAAACCCAGGGGAAGATGCTGGAAATGGCTTTTGCCCATTCTCCCCTAGGATACGTCCATCCTGGAACACAAAGGCTTTGTCATTTCCACCTTCCTTGCCCTGAATTGGCTCTTTGTGTATATGCCTCAGGGTGTGATTTGCTTTTAATACTAATTTCCACAGGACATAAGGTGAGCATTATGTTCCAGTGCAAACTGATTGTACCTGTAGGTAGAAGAGACTGAGACAGCGGAGGAGAGAAGGCACAGACTTCTTGGTGTCCCTGGGACCATACCTTCCTGCCTGCAAATCAAGCAGCTTGTAGTTGCTTGAGTCAGTCTTGAGTGCTTCAGACAAACCGAGCCCTCACTGCAGGAGTGCACAGGGATCTGCTCCATCCTCGCTGGGAGCTCGCTTTGCTCAGCGTGACTGCGGGGCAGCCCACTTCCATCCCCCCTCGCCTGTAAAGTGTGCGCCTCCTGGGTGTTGCTGCTTCCTGGGAGGCAGTTGCTGGGATTTTTAACTACTCTTCAGGAACTGCTGGCCGATATTTCTCTTTACAACTTTTTCCTACAGGACTAACATTACTGTCTCTCCTCTCCCATACCTTCCTCTCCAGCTCACACCTGCGAGAAGAAAGCCTCCAGCTCTCATCTGTGGCAATAATACTGACAGGTTTGGGGGTCATAGCCCCGAATTGCTCTCAGGCATCAGAGCAACCAAGAAGTGAGAGTAACCAACTACATGCCAAATGACAGGGCCTATTCAGCTGCATGTAATGCCCTAGGGGATGCCTTTCCGGGACCTCTGGACTTGCAGCAGTCAGGCCCAGAGAGTATCTAACCCCCTGGTACTTTCTCCCAGGCAGAAGCCACTGCTGCAAGGCTGAGGCCCATCTGCCCGTCCAGTTGTCCCAGGCCATGTGCTCTGGGGCAGGACCTCCATCACAACACACAGGGCTACTGGCAGCGCTATTAGAAGTGTGTAAGGAGATGCTGAAAGTGAGCACATTCAGGGCACCAACTTGATCAACACCCTGCAGCCCACAGCTTCTGTGCTTGGTAGCTCCAGCAGATCAAACACAAACGTGGCATCCAGTGGGACTCCCACGCTATTCCTGGCTCTGCTGCTGATTCACTTCTGCATCTCTTGTCCTACGCATTTAACTGGTGGTATTACACCTCACTGGGTGGAGCACGGATTAGTCAGTGTTTGCTTGCATTCAGCTGTTAGCTCGCAACGCTCTCACCATGCCACCCTCATTATTCCCTCCTACTCCGTGCCTCATGACGGGCCTTTGGCCTGGGCCTACAGACACCGGATGAAATTCAAAAGCCCTTTCCTGTTTCACAGTGAGCGAGATGAATTCCGCAGAAATGTCACCAGAACTGATGCCACCCAGTATTTAGCGTATAGAGTTAAAATACCAAGATAGCAATAAGCCAAAAACTGGAAGAGACTCCCTATAATTTTGCCTACTAATTCTTCTCCCAAGGAAACAGCCCTTGGTCATCAACACAGGCTAATGCAACAGTTGTCTGTCACCACATTCCTGACCCTGCAGTTACTACTGATGTACTGTCTTTCTTCTTTAGAGATCGTTAATCTCCCTTAGCTCTCATAGCTTTATCTTACACAAGTTTTCTTGATTCTCAGCTTCTCTTTTTTTTCTTCTCAGTGGATCCTTATGAAACCTCATCAACAGCCTATTAACACCTCTGACATTCCCAAGCACCAGTTTTAGCTTCTTCATACCAAGTATACCGAGATGCACCTTTCCCCATCCCTCCTCTCCAATCCATTTACTAGCAATTTTCTCCAGCATCTTTGGCCTTAACATGGCCCATGCTCTACATTTCTGATTTTTTTTTCTCCATACCATCCTACCTAGTGCTTTTATTATTCATTCTGCTACCATTTTCCATATCACTTCCCAGCCATCAAGCTTCGTGAAGATTACATCACTTCTTCCCTAGTGATATTTTCAAATTCCTCTTACTCTTCCTCCCTAAAAAACCTGCTGTTTTATCTCAGCACTACTAACAGCCCCTTCAGGCCTCCCCCATACACTGCTCTCCAACACACCTTGAAAACAGACCTACTGGGGTCCATCTTGCCTCGTGCAGCAATTTCCATCCTGCTCCAGTCTGACCTCACATATTCAGGCAGCTCGTGCCAACTTGCCAAATGTCACATTTCTCAGTCTCCGCCAGCATATCCAAGTGTCTTTTAACAATATAAACCCCGCACTTCTGCATCACCAGAGATGAGGTGGGACAGACACAATCTTAACCCAAAACAGGGAAAGCATCCGCACAGCCACACAGGACATCGCTGGACTGCCAGGAGCTTTGTGGAGTTACCTAAGCAGCCAGTAAACCTGCACCAGACTCATTGAGCAGCTCCTCACAAACATCCTTAAGCCTTTTTTCCCCTAAAACCACCCTTCTCACTGACCCATGCGAAAGGCTATAACTTTCTTCTGCAAAGGACTCCTACAGTTAACGTTAGTAGGAAAGCAACCAGTTAATACTGGTTCAAGGGACAGCTAGGAATAATTAACACCACTCCATTTTCGTAACAGACACGCACATCTCCAGCTGTGTCCTCTTCCTCCCACGCTCCTTCGTTGCAAAGAAGCTCCTGCCAACCCCTGCAAAACACACACACTTGGCCTGATCTCGCGCAGAGCCTCAGGCAGCACAGTCATATTTAATCATGACCTTGCCCAACCGATCCCTGTCACACCAGTGATGAGACAAGAGTTTCACAGTGCAAAACTGGTCACGGTAACGATGATGATAAGGTTGCACAACAACCAGACGGAAGGCAGATCCCAGTTGCAACCGGTTGCACTGTTGCAGGCTCTGACTTCATGAGACATGAAGGGTTTTCGCAGGTGCTCCAAAGCGTATTCTTCCCCTCCTTGACTATTTTGACAATCCATAGAAAAAATTAGGTTAACTTTTCTGCAAAGCTAACACTTTCAGTCACAAATTTACACACTTTGAGTAATGTGGTTTCTGGGTGAACATTTTTAGCTTTCCAGCACAAAGAAATATGTAAAGATGGTATTTTCTGCTCCCCTTTCCCATCTTCCTCATCATGAAGTGTAACAGAAACTGACTGCACTTCAGTCTATAAAAAAGCCAGAATACGAGAACTGCTAATGCTCCTCTAAGTAGAATCCGAGTGTGAGAACTAGGAATTGCAGAAGCAGGCCCTGGCAAACCCAGGGCACCGAAGGTCACTTCCAGCGCGTTTCATCCTGTGCTGCTTTCGGCAGGTGCACGGCAGAGATGGCTAGCGAGAAGGGGTGCGTGGAAATTCCCATGGTCATGTACGAACCGCACCGTGAACCCTACACGCAAGAACCCTCTGCACCAGAGTACTGCAGCCAAGGGGGTGAGCCGGCTCCGCGGGGAGGGGTTTGGGAAGAGCACTCGGCGGTTGCGTGGCAAACACCCATAGCTGGTTTCCAGAGTGTAACGGAGCCAAACTCATAAGTGGCCCAGGTCTGGCGGAGTTAGAAAGGGCCTGTGCCAGCATATAAACCCCAGGGCTGGGGTAGGAAAGCTGGAAGGATCTCCTGATGAAAACACCACTCTATATGGCAAAAAATATTTTTGTTCATTTAGTTACTCATTTTTCTAACAACATTATGGGACTCACAGTTGTATCTCTAGAATTGCATCTCTACAATCATTTCACATTCCTAATGAGCAAATGTTCAGCCAGCAAACACATGGATGGGCCATGTCTTGCTTAAACTGTAATCCAGTTTTCCAGAGAACTGGCCTTTTCCCAAATGCTCCTGCTGCCCAGGGCTGCCTTCCTGAGATGAGTCAGTTCTGCAGCCGAGTTCTGCAGTGCTGAACAACCCCTTCCCATTGCTGTCTCACGGGGAAAAATCACGAATGAGGTGCTGGCAGTTCAGCTCAATGACGACGCAGCTGCTTCTCTGCTGGGTTGGCTTGTCCCCCTGAAAAGAGGCATTGCCCTCACACCTTCACAAGCATCTCACAACACTCCTTTGTCTTCTGCCTGTTTGAGCCCACACTCACGGAAAGACACACCCAGGTATCAGTGACTTTACGTTCCTGCTGTTGAGGGAATTGCCATTCACCAGAACAACTGGAGCAGAAACCAGAACGGGAGGTTGGGAGGTGATCAGTAAGGCTAGATGTGGCAGTACGGGGCCTCTAAAACGGACTCATTTTCAGAGCATTTTACTCTGATCAGCTTTCTCTGTAAACATTTTTGTCTTTAGAGACCTCTCTGGACTCTTTCTGAACTCAGAAGAACTTGGAAGAGGTTGGGGAGAAAAAGTCTCCCTCTTGTCCCCCACGGGACAGGCACTCAGCACATCAGCACGGAGTGGTAGTGCCTTGCCCTTGGGAGGAAACAGGTCCTTCACAAAAACACATCGAGTGATAACTCACTTGTACTGAAAATACTCCTCTTCCAGATCGGAAGGAAATTATTAATTTTTTACCAGTTTGTTTTTCCACAAATAATCTCCCCTACTCCCAAAAAAACCCCTTGAAAAAACTAAACACACACCCTGCCCATTAAACCCAAATGCCATTCCAAATCTCTACCACTTCTGGGAAGCCATTCAAGGAAGCATTCCTAACATATTCCCAAGCTTCTCATTTAATTTTGTCTCACTCCGGAAAACTCCGGTTTCATATCCCACTGCCCCGTGGGCTTATTCCCGGCTGGAGTCACGCTGTTTCCGCAAGGCTCAGCAGCGCAGGCTGGGCTCCCAGGTCAGGGCTGCTCTGCTGAGGGTGAGGGCTTCACCACACCAGACCCCTCGTGGGGACCGTGCTGCTGCTGCAGACCACTCCGGCAGTGTGACAGCACACCCACGCCAGCCGGCTGTGGAGTTTCATACGTTATTTTGAATAGATTCAAGAATGCATTTGTTATACACTTATTTATTTCCCGCTTAGGCAGGCTGATGGCATCCTTAGGTTGTAAGATCAGTAAAAGAACTAACAGAGCACGAGGTGTCTTAGTCACGGGCTTCCCTTCCCTCCTCTCTTATCCTCAGCAGAGAGAAAAAGGGCTCGGATTTTTTTTCTACAACAAAGGGTAGGATGCAATTCCTTGGCTGCAAGATGGAGGTGGATAAAATTCAAACTGGAGAAAGGTCTCTAAATATCAGTAGTAAGGGCAGTAATCACTGAAACTAGTTAGAGGTGTTGGGGAACACTTAGCAATGGAGTCCTTCAATTAAGACCAAGTGTCATTCCAATGTTGCGCTGGGATAGATGCAGTTACTGCCTTTGTGTTGAAAACACGATTTGATTTCTCAGGTTATGAGTATCCTGCTCCCCCACCTTACACCTGTCGAGAAACAGCCACCCTTGAGCCTCCAGGTAAGTGCTAGGGGACTGCGTTTCTGACAACGTCACACCCTAACAAAGGTGAAATGCTTTTGAAATCAACAGGTAAGATGGAGTTTTCTGACTAAATCACATAGAGGCTGGAAAATTTCCCTAGAAATGTGGAAAGATAAGCTAAGATGTGAGACTCGAGACTTGTTTTTCCAGCATTAGCCAATCTACAGAAGTACCCATTTTTTAAAAACCAGCTAGGAGCTAGAACTTTCCCAACAAATCAATTTAATTCTAGTTTATTGCATTGTTCCTGTTCTAGTCACCTTGATAGAAGTGGAGAAGCTCTAAGCAGACTCTGAGGAAAGGCTTCAAAGAACAGTCAGACAACATCTCTTACAGAAGGGAGACACACATATATTTTTTAAAATGCCCAAGACTAGAATGCAATTAAACTCAAATATACTATAACCTGTATCTAACAGACAATACCTTCCCACTCCCGAAATCTTGCTTCAGGCTACAGTGTGAACATACCCTAAACTTGTTTTAGGATGCTTAAAATGGTATTTTTCACTGAAAACATTTCTGAAAAAAATACCCTTTGTGTACCCACAAGGGGGTGCACCCCTCAAGGAACCTGGCAGAGTCAGGTCCAGACTGAAAAAACACCAGGGGAGCTACAGACTTTACTAACTGGGGACAGCCCCATCTTTCTGATTCATCTCCTTTGGTGAATTCCTTGTAAATACTGTAAAGTTGGTCCAGAAAGCTCCTCTATATCCTTCAAATCTCTTCTTCTGGGAGAACGTGAGTTTTCATATTACTTTAAACACCAGGAGAGAAATTCGCAGTGTCAGAGTACATCCACCAGTGGGTGGTGGAGACTGCCTGACTGCGGGGATTATCCCATAAGCAATTCCCTGTGTATGTCCTTACCCGAGCAAATACAGGCTGCTGGTAGAAACAGCGTATTGGGACACGCAGCGCAGTGGCTGTCATGAATATACTTTAAATCAGTAACATAGATGCCTCTAGATCACCCATGTTAAGAACCTACATTCTCCAGTTAAGACTTTACAACATGGAAAAGATTTCCTGTGCTTCTCATTTCCTCTTGAATTCAGTTTACATGGTGTCTCAGCCACCGGTCATCGTAGCAGGAATCTTCTCAAGCAAGCCAACGTCCACGATATGCCCTTCCTGCCGCCTGCACATCACCACACAGGTCACCTACAGACTGGGCCGACTGTCTTACCTCCTGTGCGCCAGCCTGTGCATGGTTGGGTAAGCTCTCGCGTGGGCGCTGAAGGTCACAGAATGGTTTGGGCTGGAAGGGACCTTAAAGATCATCTAGTTCCAACCCCAAAGATCCTTTATAGCAGAAGGTTTAAAAGAGTCATTCAAAAAACAAAGTGCTAGCTAGTGCTTATAGTGACAGTTTGCCCTTCCCTGCGTGATAAGAAATCATTCTGTCCCTACTAGGTACAGTCCTCATGGCTGCAAGGGATGCGAGCTTGCTAAATTTAAGTATGTTGTTACTTTTCATAAAAGCAAAAATTAGTGCAACATTGTCTACTTCCCTACCGTAATTTAGAAGCAGGCTCAGAATCAGACTAAAGCATCGAATATTGGCAGTGAAGGGGATTAATCTTTCAGGAAATACTATAACCAGCAAGTCTTGGGAGAGGAGTGGATTCATGCAGGGAAAAGGCAGAGAGAAAGAAGAGATGTAGCCCGCAGAAAGATCAGTCAGCAAGCCATTCCATGCGTGTCCATCTCCTCTTTGCCTGCAGGTGCTGTTTTGGCTGCTGCTTTGTACCCTTCTTCGTGAGGCTCTTCAAGGACGCAGACCACTACTGCCCATACTGCCATTTCCACATTTACCGATACAAAAGACTGTAGAAACCAAAGTTTACGCAACCAGATGGTGACAAGTCTCCGCTTCCTGATGGCGTAAGGTTCTAGATGTAAAACTACCGCTGGCAGACACGGGAGCAGGCTTCGGTTCCGCACACCCCCCGCTGGTGAACCCACCCGGAGTTTACCGAGAGGTGGCTGGACTGGCTCTAACAGTAAAAGCCTGGAGGACTCGTTTAGGGTGTCGCTTGGCTGGATGCCGCATACCCCTTGTCCTGAGCTGCGAGGGGACCAGCACGACCACTCCCGCCAACCCGCTGAGACAGACTCTTCCCAGAAGAGTCTTCCACCCGGCGGTTTGGACACACGCGTTCCAGAGAGGCACTTACCTTCCACGCGCCGGAACTGACCAGTGGGATTTCATTTCTCTCCGCTTTTCTTCGTCCGGGACCTGCCCCCGCAGGTGGCACAGTGTAGCTGATTATTTATTCACGGTGCGCTACGTTATGAGACTCTTTACTGTGTTATACGTGAGGTAAGAAAATAAACGTGTTCTTGTCCACGACACTGGCAAAGCATCCTCTGGCTGCGTCGCC